TATATAATATTTGATTATAGTTTATTTAGATTATAAGAATCTGATTATATTTATAATAATTAAGATTTTGAATAAGCAATAAATCAGATAAGCAGAATTTCTCTTATAATTCGATTTCAGAATTGTATACTACAAAAGCTTAGAAAATAAATAAGCAGATACTTTCAGCAGAAGATCAGATTATTAAGATGCAAATTCCTTAGATATATAAAATATCTTTATTCAAAATAAATTAGAAAATCTTATTAATGTATATAAGAAGCTGAATGCTATCTTCAGAATTGAATTTTCAGAAAAGAATCTAGAATTAATAATTTCAAATGAATAAGATAGCTATATTAGAAATATATATAGTATATTAGTATATGAATATTAAGAAGTTAGAGCAACTTATAAATATATTAAAAGATATTGAAATCTGCTAGATTTTAAGAAAAGAATTGAAAATCTTTTATAATAATATAATAGCTGCAAGAAAAATAAAGTAGAAAGATATAAGCTTTATAAATTATTATATTTCTTACTAATACTTATAATTATATAGCAATTTATCAATTTAAATTTTATTATTAAACTATTTTTCTTATAAGAATTTTTAATTAAAATATAATATAATAGCATTCTAATAATAGTTTGCAAACTGAGTAAGTATGCTTACTTTCTTTCTTATAAGAAAAGCAATATAGCAGAAGAACTTATATATATATTTCTTAGAATAATTATTGCTAATTATAGCATGCTAAAAGAAATAATCTCTAATAGAAATAGAAAGTTTAATTCAAAATTCTAAACTTTACTTATAAAACAGCTTGAAATATATTATAGAATATTTATAGCATTTCATCTGCAAATAGATAAATAAATAGAAAGAATAAATCAGATTATTAAATAATATCTTTAATATTATATTAATCAGAAATAGAATAATTGAATTAACTTATTATTTCTTGCATAATTCGCTTATAATAGCGCAGATATAAGTATAATAAAGAAATCATTATTCTTTATACTCTATAAATATAATTCAATAGCTTATTATAAAGCATTATTAAAAGCAGATATAGACTCTATAAACAAAAAAGTTAAAAAGATTAAGAAAATTTAGAAAAAACTTTAATTAGAACTATAATTTATTTAGAAATAAATAATATAATATACAAACTCCAAAAGAATTAAGAAATTAATTCTATAGAAAAGAGATAAAGCTTATTTACTTCAGAAAAATATTAAAATAATTAAGCTTAATAACAAACTTGATTATAAGAAATTAGAAATATTCAAAATCTTGCAATAAATTTTCTTAATAAATTATAAATTAATACTATCTTATAGAATAAGAATATATCCAATATTTTATATCTTATTGCTAGAATTAGCAGTATAGAAGATATTAATAAATAATATAGTAAAAATGGAAAATAATAAATTAGAATATAAGATTGAAAAGATTCTCAAGCATAGAAGTATAAATAATATATAAGAATATTTTATTAAATGGAAAGATTATTTAGCAAGCAAGAATTTATAAGAATTATAGAAAAATATTGAAAATGCTTAGAAAAAGATAGCTGAATATTGAAAGAAGAAAATCAGTATCTAAAATAATTGCTCTGCTTCAAACTAAGATTTAGAAGCTTCAGAAGCTTTACTCTTTAGAAAATCAGACTAATTTACTATATTATTTCTCATATTTACAGAATTTCAATTAAATCCTTCAAAAGAAGAATTCTTAGCTGCTACAGCTAACTTCTCAGATATAGCTTCTCATATAATAAGAGCAGCATAGCGCTGCTTCTTCTTAATCTTCTTATACTCTAGCTTCTTTATGCTAGAAAAGCTTCAGTAAATAGCTCTTATTATCTTCTCATATTATATCTACTTCTGTTATCAAAGGCGGAGAAGCTTAGCATTTAAAACAATAGCTTTCTTCTCAATAGCTTTCATTTCAGCTTTCAGATATTGATATTGAATGCTTATCCAATGATGTTCTGCTATATTCAGCCTCTGAATATTGCATTAGAAGCAGCTCAGGCAAATATACTTAGTATAACAGAAGAAATTCTTAATAGAAACTTAACAAGACTGAATACTATAACTCTTACAGAAAGAATAGGAAAATATAATAATAGCATTTTTAAGAATTAAGAAAAGAAGAGAATTCTTTTGTTTAGTTTTCTTAGTACGAGAACAAGATTTGTTAATTCTATTCAATATCTCAATTAGGAAAGCAAAATCATATACAGAAGAGCTTGCTAGAATACTTATAAAAGATTATTAGAAATAATAATTAATAGAAGGAAGATAATATTATAATCTATCTAATATATAGATTATAAGCAAATAAGAATCAGATATTAAGAACTCAACTGCATTAACTAAGCACTGATTATATAATTCAGAATTAGAATTAAAAATATAACTAATCAGAATAAATAGCTTTGAATATATGCTATTCAGAGCTAGCAGAATAACTTGAATATATTGCTATTCAATATATCTCTACTAAAGAGTAGAATATATAAGAATATATTCATTACTACTAGATAGATTATCAGAATATAGCTCTTCAGTTATCAATCTAAGTATTCATTTATTATATACTTGAATAGCTCTAAAGACGAATGATCAGCACTTGTACGGATTACAGTTATATTCCATATTCAGTGAATTCTACTTTAATACCGCTCTTGTTAGCATAAACCCTTTGTATACTTCAGATCTTCGGATATTGCAGTGCATTCATTACACTCAGTCCCTAGGATGTGCCTTCAGGGGCGTCCTGCGGCTCCAGCTGCTAATTATTGTTTAAACAGGGAAGCTCAGCTCCTACTCCACTACACTACTACTATTAGTAGCAGACTGAAGCCCTGCTATATCTAAATATAGATTTGCAAGCGCACAATCCCTTTACACATTCTGGCTTCAAGCTTTCGAAAGCTTGAAAAGACCAATTATATAAGTCATACTCCCCCCCGCGAACCAGACTCGGCCTTAGCCTTCAGGTTCTACCCCATATTAGTCCTTCAGCAATTACTCTCAACTCTCAGTACTTATTCTCCAATACAGAAAATGCATTTTTGTCATAATATACGCAACAAACGCGATCTTGAGATCTTGGGAAAAGCGCAGCTTTTGGCTGCCAGATATCAAGGTCCTGCCGACGTAATAGTTGCGAGACCCCAAAAGAACACTCCAACAGAGTCAAATAGTTTCTTGATAATCAGAATCGAAAACAAACGCAACCCATGTAATCTCGATACCATGGACAGAGGCTTAGGCTCACCAAGTGGAATTAATGCGATATCTCCAGCCGATACAACTGAGTTATGCTCATTTGGACATGGTTGGGCTCAGGTATCAGTTAAGGATTATACTGGGACTACAGCTTGTGAGGCAGGAGTAGCAGATCGCTCTAGAGAGTCAGGTTTTCAGCCACTTAACGCAAAAACTCTGGAAAGTCTGCTTCAGGACATAGAGCAGAGTGGGTCTCGGGTCCTCACGTAACCGTAAGGATACCACCCCCTTTCGATTTTTTTTTCTTTTCGGACAGATAGCAACAATAGGACATCCTTCCCTTCTTTTCTCAATTTTGAGCCACCTGGACAGGTCTAAGGCAGATCTTTCACCCTGCTCTTGTGCCCGTGTGGCCTTTGTTTCCTGTCGTTGTTTATCCAGGCACGCTTGGGTTGCACGAGCCTTGGCTCATTGCTTGGTCGTTCGTTCTTTCTGTGCGACGGCGCGCTAGTTCTGGTTTAATGGCTTGCCTAGAGGGGTGCCTGAATTAGGCAACTTTCAACATGGTGGTTTTCAGAATGGCCAGCAAGGCCTAGCTGAGTGGCTGGGGCGGCCTGAATAGCACAAGGTCGCTGTTACAAGGCTAGGTAAAAATTGGAAGTAAAAGCGCTGGAAACCTACAGTCTTGGGCGCCTCAGAAGGGAGCGAAGGGCCGACCTCATCATCCAAGTCGTCATCATCGATAAACGGGCTTGAAAACCCCCTAGAACCAGCACCAGAGCGCTGGGAAGAGCCAATACCGACTGAATCGGCAGCACCATCAACCAAGGGGCGAAAGACCAGAGCATCAGCACAAGCAGCAGACGAGTCGACCGGAGCTCGAGGACTTGAAGTAGGAAAGCCAGACCGCCGTCACTAAAAGCCAAAACAATTAGATCAGCCCAAATCACTCCCCAGGACAGCTCCTTCCATGCTTACATCAGGAAGGGGGTGCCGGCCAGCGGCTTGAACTGAGACAGGCTGAACAGGGCTCGTGTTCTCTTCTACGGCCACCGAGGGACCACCATGCGACTCACACACGCTGTCTGGCGCGCTGGGCTTTACACCCAAGGGAGTCTCGTCACTCTCCACATCAGGGAGAGGTTCAGGAAAGGCCACATTGATCTCGCCCTCGGCGGGGCTGTTGCCATCGAAATCGGCCATGCTGAGCTCGCTGGGAGGGGAGGAAAGTTCAGACTCCGCTGATGAGACATCTGGAGCGACTGGAACAGCCATATTGACGCGCGGAGGCTACTAAAGAGCCGTGAAGCCGATGAAAAAAGAGCTGGTTGTAAAGGAAAGGAACTCGAAAGAGGCAAGGCAGCTGAAAAGCGCGCCGATGCAAGCTTAAACGCGACTGTGGGGACCCCGCAAAAGACCCACTTTTCCTTGCACATCTGACTAATCAGATGGGGGGTGTGTGAAAAATGGGGCATTTCTAACCCTAACCCTCTCTTTTGGTTCATTTATAAACCGTCTGAGAGCGTGGTATGGTCACTTAGAAGATCTTCCTTTTGTTTAGATAGATTCAATCTCAACGCTCTTTATGCCACTTCCACGTGCTCAGTCCGCCAGTTTCTCATTAGTTTGTAACATTAACAACGCTCACACCGAGGCTGACGTGATACTTGCAAGCCAATCTCTGCTGAAGAAAGATTATCCGCAAGGTTATAAATATGCATGTAATCGGCGATTCACAGGCTATCCATCGGATCTTGGGTTCAACAATGGCCTGTCTGCGCCGCAGCCTGATTATGTCCAGGGTCTTACACAAGGTGCATTCAGTCCATTCCCGGTTGATAAGCAGCTGAGCGGAGGTATTCTCTACAAGAACGAGTATAACCCTATAGCCCTACCACATCTAGCTGGCGAGTGGAAAGGCCCTCTCAGATCAAAAGGAGCCACGCTGCAGAGCGCCTATGATGGAGCCTCTCTTGTCTATGCGAGGAACCAGGCCCTCTTATATCTCGGAACGCCTGATCCCTCTGGGCACGCTCAAGTTACAACATTTACTACGGACAGCACAGTCCTCAACCAGTTTGCACACTACGCTAGGCCATCCTCCATAGATAGCACGCCTAAGTACCACCAGTACCCCATCAAGTCGACACTCCTTACAGACTCTTACCAGGGCTTCAAGGATGGCTAAAAGGGGCTCCGGAATGCACAGGATTACGCCAGGGAGCAGTCTTACCAGCTGAGAGACCAGCTGAGGGATCACTGGAGGGAGCAGCAGCGCCGGCCGGCCGCCGAGGCCGAGGGAGAAGACGAAGCTGAGGGAGAAGACGAGGCTGAGGGTGGAGACGAGACTGTGTGACGGTCACGAGGCTGAGAACAGAGGCGATAATACCCAGTGCCGGTCCCGGGGCTGTGGGGACTGCTGCTGCTGCTGCATGAGTCAGGTGGTGGCTGTTGGGGAATTTCCTTTGTAGGGTCCGGCGCATATAGAATGTACATGTACTGCTTTTTTCTTTGTATTGTCAGATGCATATAGAATATACATCAACTACCCCGCTGAACAGAACAGATGCCCCTGCGCCGGAGAGGTGAGAGAGGTGAGAGAGGTGAGAGAAGCCGGCCGCGAGGGAAGATGGAATCTGTGAGGGAGGACGAGGCTGAACTGGGCAAGGAGTCGGCGTGATGGCGACGAGATCAGGCCGGGCCGGCATCATAGTCGTCTCCAGCTGCAGTCCGAAAGAGACGCCGGCCTCCCACGCCGCCTCTCGGCACGCCGGCACGTCTTGGTCTCGCCGCGGCGGGTGGGCGAGAGGTCGAGAGCAGCTCCAACGAGCGCCTGAAAACGTGAAGGCCGAGATCATACTTGCTGATAACGCTTGGAACGGGTTGCTCAAGTCCATACATGATCCTGTCGCATCGCCGCATCCCCTCAAGACGGTATCGCAGCTAACATTGACAAAGGATACTTCGACGAATCTCTCAGCTCCAAAGACATGCGCAGATCTCCTCGCCTTTATTCACGAAGAATAATGAAGGCACTACCCAAGGTGAGCTGATCATTATCTAATACTGCATGTATTGTAGGAACAAGCTGACCTTGGTATAGATAGCCAGACTGCGCAAGATCTGGAGTTGAAGTAATATATAAAGCTCATTGAGGCCCAAAGGACTAGGAGAAGTTATGCGTACAGATCATTCTCGTCAGAATATCAAGGCCTGAAACGCAGAGATACGCATGGGCCGATGGAGTATAAGAATTTGCTTTATGGCCTAAGACAAAAAGGTCGTGATTTCGGCCAGAAGTCATGAGATGGACCTTGTTGCCATGAAGTGCCAGATCATCCTCAAGTCCGAGGAGCATAAGATGATCGTCCAAGCGGCAGAAGCTCAGATCAATTGAACTACAACATGCCTGCTTGCGTCCGAACCAGCTTCCTGTTGATCTGGATTGCTTCCATGTGACGGAAAGCTGCTACGCTGAAGAGAACCTCAGGCTTCGGCCTTGCCAGACGGCGCCGATACACCCAGCCCTTCCGGGATGATGACCATCCTGCTAAAACCCCACGGAGCACATCAACCAGACTGCGCCGCTGCACCCAGCCCTGCCAGAATAACGACCATGCCTGCTGAACCCCCACAGAGCACATCAACCAGACTACGCCGCTGCACCCAGCCCTGCCAGGATAACGACCATGCCTGCTGAACCCCCACAGAGCACATCAACCAGACTGCGCCGCTGCACCCAGCCCTGCCAGAATAACGACCATGCCTGCTGAACCCCCACAGAGCACATCAACCAGACTACGCCGCTGCACCCAGCCCTGCCAGGATAACGACCATGCCTGCTGAACCCCCACAGAGCACATCAACCAGACTGCGCCGCTGCACCCAGCCCTGCCAGAATAACGACCATGCCTGCTGAACCCCCACAGAGCACATCAACCAGACTACGCCGCTGCACCCAGCCCTGCCAGGATAACGACCATGCCTGCTTGTCAAAACCCCACAGAGCACATCAACCAGACTGCGCCGCTGCACCCAGCCCTGCCAGGATAACGACCATGCCTGAAAGAATGCTCGGGGCTGTGGTGATGATGCTCTAGGACTGCCCACTAGCAGGAGATACTTACCCTCTTACCCTCTCTCTCTCTCTCTCTCTCTCTCTCCACATGTCCACAAGTCCTGGGTCGCTGCTGGGTGTTCTCCAGGCTCCGCCCTTGTCAGGCTGCCCGCTGGCGCGCTCTTCACCTGTCCCTAGCACCGAGACCTGCAGCTGCTCTGCTCTGCGCCTTCTCCTCCAGCCGTCGGCTCCTGCGTACAGATGCTGTCGACAGGGCGTTCGGGGGAGGGACAGGAGGCTTCAGGCCAGACGGCGCTTGTTGGGCGGCAGAGAGCAGCCGGGCGGAAGCTTCGGGTCCCCGGGGCCCACGCTTCCGACGAGCCTTGGCTATCTTGGCTCCACGAACTCCATCAAGTGCTGTGCATGCTGGTTGTGGAGGCTGCCCAGCTCTGTGACGAAACCCCCTCTTCGGCTGCTGCTGCTGCTGCTGCTTGTGCTGTAGGGCTGAGGGGGAAGGGGGTGATGGAGAAAGCTCCCCATCCCCATCCCCCGGACGGACGGGCGGTCGGCTTTCTATCCGCTCGTTACCCCCCAGCCCTTGGAGCATCTTGTCAAGGGCTTGCTCATGCCTTGTCTGTTGCGGGCTGCCGCTGGCAGCAGGTCGGGCACGGTCGGGGTCTCTGGCCGGGTTCTGCTTCTTTTTCTTCCTCGGCTTCTTCTGCACACGGCCTGGCGACGGGCGGGATGCTGCTGTCCTCGCCTTCTTCTTGCCTGCCACAGGAATATCAGCCCTCTCCCAGCTCTTCTCTCCCCCATCCCGAGCCTGCCTCGCAGGGGGATATAGCATATCTATCGGCGCAGGCGAGCTGGTCCGGTATTCGGGTGGTGTCGCATATCTAGAAGGGGGCGATTCGCTTCGAGGGGGCGATCCGCTTTGTTCTGAGCCTCCTTCGTCTCTCGGATGCCATTCCTCATCTGTTGACTCGTACGGTGGCCAGGCTTCCTGGCTTGCCGGGTCCCCTCCTTCAGAGCTCGAGTGTGCCGAAGGGGGTGATCTTGCTCCTTGTTCGTGGGATCTGGCGGCGGCGCCAGCTGCCGTCGGGCGCGATGTAGCAGGTTGGCGGAAGACACTAATATCCTTTGATCGTAGCATAAGAGATGCAAAGTATGCAACATATGAATCAAAGGACTTCTGACTCTGGATCTTACCGATATCACAATAAGACTGCCAATCCTTATCGATGCGGAATTTCTTAAACGTTCTGGAGAAGTCCAGCGCTTCCTTCCAGAGCTCGTGCAGCTCTTTCAGCCTCTCCTCCCGCCGCTCCCCGAGCCGGCGGAAAAAGTCAGCTCCGTCCTCAGACATCCGGCCGACATCGATTACATCGAAAAAGAAAGCCTCCTCGTCCTGCAGTGGTATCGTAATAGTATTGAATTGTCTGGGGAGGGTAGTAAAAATGGTATCAGGGTCTACGCCGCTCGGGGTGAACTTGTGGAGCGCGTCTAAACGCTCAGGAAATTGATCGAAATAATAGTCAGGATTGACAGGAGGGAAGATAATCGAATCCCAATCTAGGGGCTCGTCCATGATGATGAATGATTAGGGCGTTATAAGTAGGACGAGAGGGCTTTGCGAAGACAGGGCTTCGTGGAGACAGGATGCGAAAGAGCGCTGGCGATGAAGACGTTGGGGGTGGGAAAAGAGAGGAACAGCGGGTACGGCGAAGCGTTGAGGGGGCGTGTGTGGCCCGTGCTTCACTATGGGGAAGGGGTCTGTTCCGCTGCGATTTAGCGGCAGACAAGCCGAGGCAGTAAATTAGGTTTGGTTTGCTGCACTGACAACACAGCACGGCAAGGTTCCGAGACCAGCCCATTATTTATTGCCAGGCTACAGGAGTTGTCCGCTTCTCTTCTCGTCTTCGAGATGTATCGAGTACTTGAACAAAGACTTTGCTGCAAATCCAATCCTCCTCCTCAAATTCACTTTTCAGGACACGCATGGCTTCTCGCCTCGCCAGATAAGCCGTCATGACAACCTCGAACCCGGAGAGCCTGGAGAGCACGCAGCCATTCTCTTCCAGCTCCCACGCAGCCAGGCTCGCCGAGTACACGGGCGGACCAGATGCGGGACAGAACTGGGAGAGCACACAACCCTTCTCTTCCAGCTCCCACGCAGCCAGAATCGCCAAGTACACAAGCAGACAACCACCTATCCAGCCCGAGGCGGACCATCTGGAGGACAAGGACAGCACACAGCCGGCGCAGACCTCCGTCTCAGAGCAACAAGATTTCTTCACAGCCCCGGAAGAGTTCCACTCCGATCCTGTCGAGGGTGCCGATGGCCCTGTGCACGGCAGAGCCCATGGGGCCCAGCAGGGCGGCGAGCACCAGCCTGCGGAAGTTTCCCTGGACCAGCTGGCCCTGCGCTGGGATCCGCGAATCAGGGTTGTCTTCAGACAGCCCCGGGATCTGGCCATCCAGATTGACCAAGCCGGACAGCAGGAGGTTACAATGCTCTCGAGGCCTGGATCTGAGGAGCAGCCGCTCTGGCTCAATCTCTTGGGCTGCATACAAAGCAGGAGCGAGCCCATGTTCTCCTTGACAGCCGGCAGCATCCAGTGCAAGTTCTTCTATATCCCAAACTGTGACGACATAGTCCTGCTCAATGGTCCAGTCCCTGTTGAGATACAGTGCGTATCAGATTCAGATTTCTCATCAAAGCTCTTAGAAAAAAGATCTACAACTCTCGGGCCAGGTACTTGGAAGATCTGGACAGCTCAGCACAGCTTGGAATTTCAGCTATGGCCTCGCCAGTACTCAGTCGAAATCCAGGAGGGGAGGATACTGGGGAAGAGAAGCTCTGGGGAGATCATGCCGCCGGCTACCAAGAGAAGGCGCGCGCCTGGGCCGCGTCTCTTGTTGATGCCTCCTGTGACACCATCGTCATTGCCAGAAGGAGAGGTAGCCTGTGTAGCATATTCTCTGGATGACGAGGCTTGGTTTGCGTATAAGCCCAGTGAGGGTCAAACGCTTATGGTGCGAGATGAGGATGCAGATGAGGCGGGATATCGTCTTGCCTATCTGTATTCTAGATGGGAGCGCCGATCGCACTGCGCCTATACCTTCAAAGCCATTCTGAACAGCGACCTGACCAGCACAAAGGCTGTTGTGGTCAAGATCATCATACGACCACAAGGGATACATGCTGATAAACGCGGAGAAGCGGGGATATGCAGTGCTGCTCAGAGGTGGTATGCTGAGTTCAAACAGCATCGTCATCTCGACCATGTAAGCCAGCCAGCTCTCTCTCTCTCTCTCTCTCTCTCTCTCTGCCCCTTAACACAGGTAGCCAGTTGCTAGCCAGTTGCTAATAAGAGATAGCCCCGGATCGCCCGTCTCCTGGGCTATGACGCGCGATTACATACCCTGTATATTGAGTTCAAAGACCTACCGGACCTCAGCAGCCCCGCCTGGTGTACCGAGACAGGATCATTCAAGGGGAACTATGCCGATGCATGTCGCGTTCTCGCAGACATCTCGAGCGCTCTGCTCTACCTGGAGGACAAGAACATTCTCCATAACGATATCAAGCCAGGCAACATCCTCTACGGCAGAGACACTGCGATGTGCAGAAGGGGCGCAATCCTTATCGACTTTGGTCTAGCCCAGAAGCCCGGACCTATAGTCGAAGGGGGTACGCCTTGGTATGTTCCCCCAGAATATCGAATTAGACGCAGAGGATATCCGGCAGATATTTGGGCACTCGGCATTTCTATGCTCTACCTGATAAAGTACATAATGCTGCCAGAGAAGCAGCCCCAATTCCCGGCGTGGCAACTAGCCCAATATCATACCGACTCTCGGGCAAAGAAACAGATGAATCAGTGGCTTGAAGAGGTTGAACGACTGCGGTACAATCTGCAGGCTAGGTCTTCGCAAAAATACAGAGAAGGAGTCGAGCTTGAAGAATATATCAGCAAGATGTTGGAGCTGAGTGAGAGCCAACGGATCACCAGGAGAGAACTTGCGCAGCAGACACGGCGATGGACATCGGATATATGCGACAGCTAAAAGGAGTGACCACTCCCAGCTGACTGGAAATGATAGTGGTCTATATAGCTGCGTAGAACAGTCGGACTCACACAGAATATGGCTGCTGCGAAGTAATAGTAACGTATTGTTGTGATGGCCAGTGTGGTGGTCCTCGGGACGTAAGAGTGAAGTGGGTCGCGGGTCCTCATGCAATATAAGGATACTACCCCCTTTGAAATTTTTCGGACAGATAGTAACAATGGACATCCTTCTCTTCTCTTTTTCGATTTTGAACCCTCTGGACAGGTCTAAGGCAGGTTTTTCACCCTGCTCTTGTGCCCGTGTGGCCTTTGTTTGCTGTCCCCTTTTTGTACACGCACGCTTGGGTTGCACGAGCCCTTGCCCATTGCTGGGACGTCCGTTCTTTTGGTGCGACGGCGCCCTAGTTCTGGTTCAATGGGGATGTAATGAGCACTGCAGTAATCCGAAGATTCCTTAAGTACACAAAGGGGTTTATGCTAACAAGAGCGGTGTCAAAGTATAAGTCTTGAATACGGAAATATAACTGAGTAATCTGTGCAAGTGTTCACTGCCTTTGGGGCTATCAGATTGTAGGGTAATCCAATACTTAGATTGACGACTGAAGAGCTATATACAAGATCTATCTAGATGGTAGGAAGCGTGCCCTTATATATCTAGCTCTTCAGACCTATTTTGCCTAGTGATCACTTTTGATCACTCTTGATCACTCCTGATCACTGACTTCTGGTGATCACCGTCCTTTCTGATTGGTCGGCCTATAACCCTAACCCTTGGTTACGTAAGCATGGTGTCATCCTTCGTGGTCCCGAGGATGTTGGATCCTCTTTAGCTTCCGGCCAGTTGTTCCGGGCCTTTCCTTTGTGACTTCCATGTTAGATGGGTCATAACAACCAGCCTGTATCTACCTAAGATAGTGGCTGTCTGTAGCAATAAGGCCCTGCCTGCCCAACGCCTTCTTCCCGCCTGCTAGCTACCGTGACAAATATATTACGAAGGATGTGTTATGACCCGTGGTTCAGGCATAAGCTGCCAACGAGATCAAGCCTGTTGATGATCCAATGGTTGCTTTTGGATTGACTTGAGTAGCAGAATCAGGGCCATTCTCCATGTCTCAATATCCATGTTTGTGAGCAGACGCTTTCTGCAACCAAGAGATTCTGCAGTAATATCGATAGCAGTGCCGAGCAAAGCAGCGCTATTGTCAATGCTGTCAGAGTATTGACTGATATCTTCGAGGCTGTATGCATGCCTCACATTCCCAAGTAGCTTTTTCAGCTCCTCTATAGCCTTTGTCCTGGATATATTCGGCACTGAATTGTATATCCGTCCACAGTTTTCCTTGAGCACAGCTAGAAGCCAGTGACTTTTAGGAGCAGGCTGCTTTAAAAAGAGCATCAGGAGCTTGAGCAAATCAGCTGGGACAGCTAGATGAAGTCCATCTAATCTGCATGCACTATACTCCCATATCTCCTTTTAACAGCTTCAGTAGCACAGCAGTTTAGGTATATTTCTTGCGAGAGCTTTTCGCTGATGACAGCAATAATTTAGCAGTGATCTAGCAGCTATAATCTTAGTTGTTTGTCAGGAGTGGCGCTCCCGCCAAGGCGCCTTCGGAGCGCTAGCAGATCACGTGCCACTCTCTCTTACATAGCCAGCGTGTCGCCTTCTCAATTCTGTTCCTGCACTCAGCAAGAATTAGTCTTGATACAATCAGAAACCTACCAGCCACCTCTTCAAGCCTGTCTTCTGCTTATGTTATTGTGATTTCGCCTAGCTTCCGTACCAGGTGTTCTGATACCTGGTGAGCTGTGCTCCTGATGATTCACCCTTGTAACCCTAACCCTTGATTACCTAATCTTCCCTTAGGTGCATCCGTGCTTTGGGTTGTATTCCCTGTCTTCCTTGTTGGCAGGGCTTGTTCTGTGATCTGCATGCTAGATGAGTTATAACAAAGTGGTTCAAGTGGTGAAGCATTGCAAGACAAGCAAGCAGCCAAAATTGCTAGCAAGTCAAGTGGCAGGCTACCGCTTAACTTAACTTAACTTGCATGGAACGCTGCACCCAACAACCTGCGCTACATCTTCAGCAGCTTCCAGGATCTCAGCGAGAAGAACCGTAAGCTCTGGCGGGAGTAATGTCCCGGCGGGATGATAGAAGCCTACGCTGCTCGTTGGCTGGTTTGTATTTGCGCTGTGCGAATCATCATTCAGCTATACTCTTCCCCCCCTCTCAAAAAAAAAAAAAAAAAAGACCAGATACGGAAGAGAGGAGGTAATGCAGTTATATGATTGTCTACAGCGAGAGAGAAAGAAAGAGAGCATCAAGAAAGCATCTCAGCTTCTCGATACCTGCTACTGTTAGATCTTTTTAGTAGTGCAATTTTTTATTTTTATTTTTGTATCAATGCATCATCTGCTGCTAGAATAGCTGCTGTGAAGAGGCGAGTTGTTTATGCATGCAAGGTTCTATCAAATTAGTAAAGCTACTTTGGATTTTACAAGGCACAAATTTTAGAAAGGGAGCATAGTTTTGCATAGAGAGAGAGAGAGTATTCAATGCTGATCAATCTGAGAGGGGTTTAGTGAATTTCGGCAAAAAGAAAGTCTTATTATTAGCTCTCAAACTTCCAAGTCTTGCAATGGCTTCCTCTCGAATAACCCCTTCTCGAATAACCCCTTCTTGCCTGCCTACCTATCTACCCTGTAACTGCATGCCCGGGTAAGGACGCAGCCCAGCATGAAACCCTCGCCACAGCATATTCCAGCTCTCTCGCAAAGTCGTCCCTCGCCTGTTTCTGCGATAGCCCGCGCCTCGTCCTCTTCCGGTTCGGGCTGTTAGCGCCTATGGGGCCCAGGGGCGGGCGGCTGCCGCGGAACTCTGCGCGCTCAAAGTCGATAATCATGAGGCCGCCGCTGTCTGGGTCGAGCAGGAGGTTGCGCAGCTCCGCGTCGCGGTGGAGGATGTGCAGGCTGTGCACCGCCCTGAGGATGGTGGCGACGGCCTCGGCGGCGGCGGCGGCGGCAGCTCTGTCGACTTTGTCACCGCAGCGGAGCAGCGGCTGTCCAGCCCAGCTCAGGAACATAAAGTGCTCGTAGACGCCACTGTTGTAGTAGTAGGGCAGGACCAGGTCGATGCTGCCGAGACACACGGGGATGTGTTTCCCCTGGATGGGCTGGAGCCGGTCGTATATGTCGTTCTCGTGCTGCAGACAGGCGCGGTCGAGACCCTCCATGCCCTTGGCGACGAGGGTGTAGCCGTAGGCTGACAGCCGCACCTTGAAGAGGGAGCCGCGCGCCCCAGAGAGATAGAGCGGCACGCAGTCGGCGTCGCGGCCGCGGTCCGTGGCAAGCTGGTGTCGGACGAGGCGGAGGAACTCGGGCCGGCTGATGTGCTCCTGCCCGTGGTCGTCCGCGTTGGGGCAGTTCTTGTCCATGGACCCGCCGCCAGATGCTAATCCCAGGAGGCATTGCTGTGTGCAGAACGGCCGGCCCTGGATGTCTGGCTTTGCTGCTTGGCCCTGGCTCTGCTGCTCGCCTGAGCGCTGTTGTTCTCGCTCCCCACCGCCCCCCGCCGAGCCTGTGCCCGTTGTCGCTACCTTCCCACCGGTGCGAGATTGTTTCGGAGAAGGGGAAGGGGGATCTTGGTGGTGGTGGTCGTCGTTGTCGTCATCATCGTCGTGGTCGTCGTCGTCTGGACGTCTAACCTCAGCGTCGAGTTGCTGGCAGCGGGAGCGGGTCCGGATTGGCGATCGCTTAAAGCCCTTCCAGCGCTGAGGCTTATAAGGAGAGGCGCGGGGCTCCTTGGGTTTGCGCTCCGTCTCAGGGATGTTTCTCAGGATATCGTCGTACTCGACGGCCCAGATCCCAAGCTTCGCGGCCTCATCATGCCATGACTCGGGCGGTGGACTCGCGCGGACGGCCTGGAGGATAAAGGCAAAGACCTGCGCAACGGCTGTGCGGTGGAGCCTCGTCTCGTCGTCGTCCATGACGTCCAGGTTCGGCACGCACACCGAGAAGTAGACCGTGGCGGGGTCGTCCGGGATGTGGAGGAAGATGAAAGCCTGTCCCGTGCACACGTAGCCATACTGGATGCCCTTGCCGATCATGTACGAGAAGAGCTGGGTGACGACGGCTGCGGCGAGTGCCCTGGCCGTGAAGGCGAAGCCCTGGCCGTCCTTGTTAATCACATCGCGTTCGGGCTGAATTTCCGACCCAAGGCCCGTAACAACCTCGTCGACGCTTAGCTTGTGCGGCGCCTTGTATTCGATAGCAAGCACCGGTATATCCGTGGCGTCCAAAGTCCTGTATATACAGAACTGGTCGGCAAGATTACCCTTGCCCCTCGCCCTGCGGCGGGCCTTGGGAGCCGCCGGTGGCTTCGGGGCAGAGGCAGAAGCACCGGCACGGCCCGTGCCAAGAGACATCTGCCCCATGGGCTCGGAGATGGGATCGTCGTCAGGTGTACCGAGATTCGTATGGCTCTCGAACGTCACGGTTCCCTGGAGGCCGAGGCTGCTCTGCAGCAGTGGATCCATGTGTGCCCTGTCGACCAGCCTGTGCACCGCGTTCTCGACAGCATCACGCGCAAAGTCCCGGAGCCCAAGCTCACTGCTGATAGGCTTACAAAATGACTTGACATAGTCTAGCTGATGCTGCGAGGGAAAGGCGGGCAGGGAGGAGAATGAGTCGCCGGCCGAGAGACGGTCCCAGATCTCCTCTTGTCTCGCCGCGAAGTCGTCCCAGGGGACGATCCGCCGAGGGAAGATCCGGCCGGTCGGATCGGTCGTGTAGCCTTGCGTGGTCAGAGATGGCTTAGTTATTACCCGGATTGCAACATTGAGCGAGTGGCAGGCCTCGAGATATTGTTGAAGGGTCTGTGGCTGCGACTTTGCTTCGGCCTCTTCGTGTCGACGTTGCTCCTCTTTGCGTAGACGTTGCTCCTCTTTGCGTAGACTTCGCTCTTCTCGTAACAACCGCCGGAGCTCTTCCGCATCCTCCATTATAATTGTAGCAGCACAAGCAGATTAGTTTGTTTACTCCTGCAACAGGAAAGCAAAGCTCGTTGGTGGAGATGGAGGCTTAGGATGTTCAGATGCTAATAGAAAAGGGACCAGGCAGGAGGGCAATTTGACAAGACCTGATGGACAAGGCTGACAAGCAAGCGCATATAGGGGATCAGGAATGATATGAGGCTATGATTTCCAGATGGGAGAAGTCAGGATTGCGAGATGCAAACTTCCGGGGGGTGCACGAGAATACAGAAAGTTCTGTGCTATATAATGTTATTTGTGATTGCCACTAGTGTCGGGCCTATCAAAGGCACCTGATAAGAAAACCCTCGGAAATTATTGCATCACCCGGACAACCAGCTCCAACTCTGGGTTTCATTGACTATTAACCCCAACCACTTACCCAACAAACTTCACTTCAATGTGGTTGGTGAATGCCATGACATGCCTTTATGCTTTGAAGTCTGGCAATGTCTCTTTAATATGGCACTGCTTAGATTCATTCAAGTCAGTAGCTACAATTTCACATGCACATACCAGCCCTGACAAAAGATTTGTTGAAATTGAAAAATTCAATGCCTAGGAACTACCCGTGGGCCTAATGTCAGGACCAATTGTGCCAGCAAGGCTCAGAGCCAGCCAGGCCAGCTGGGTTACAGATGACTAAGCGATATGCAGCTAAGTATAAAGCAGCACTGCTGGGCAGAACTTAGTTCCTTAGGCTTCAATGTCATTTCTGGTTGTATGCTCTTGAAAGAGAGAAAAGACCTCGCCACATTGCCTTTGCAACCTTTCCACCTAACAGTTTGAAGCTTAGCTCTTTTAAAGGAAGCAATCCAGCAAGGCTTTTTATCTTTTTTTTTCCTAGGAGCAGCGCTAATACTAAGCAGGAGCAGAGCAAACGATCAGACTACTATCCTTTTCGAACTTTCGAGCTTTTAACCTTCGAGCCTTTGATCTTCGAGCCTTTGACCTTCGAGCCTTTAACCTTCGAGCCTTTGATCTTCAAGCCTTTAACCTTCGAGCCTTTGACCTTCAAGCCTTCAATTTTCGAACTTTCAAGCTTTGAAGATAGCAAGCAAGCAGTGTGCAAGCAGCATGCAAGAAGCATTCAGAAGAGATTCAGAGCATTCGAGTTGCTAGGCTAGAGCAAACAGCGAGCAAGCAATATGCAAGCAGCATGCAAGAAGCATTCAGAAGAAATTCAGAGCATTCGAGTTGCTAAGCTAGAGCAAACAGCAAGCAAGCAGTATGCAAGCAGCATGCAAGAAGCATTCAGAAGAGATTCAGAGCATTCGAGTTGCTAAGCTAGAGCAAACAGCAAGCAAGCAGTAAGTCGAAGCACCCCCTTGTGAACACCCCCCCCTTGTGGACACCCCTGGCTAGCCACATCGCATATATATATATACATTGATTTATATACATTTCTCTTCCTAATCAGCTACCACGATACAGTCCTCCTCATCAGTAGGTAATTCGGCATCGCTCTCTTCATTTAGATTATCGTCATTCCTGTTGACTGCATTTTGAGCCTTCTGTATAGCTTCAATATCTGCAAACCTCGAATTTGAGCTTGTATCTACCTTCCTTCTTTTAGTTAGCCTTCTAGCCTCAGCCTGCTTTTCCAGTACCTCATTCTTTTCCAGAGCTCTAGCTAGTTCAACATCCCTCTTACTGAATGCTTTGCATATCTTCCTGAAAAGTATATATTGTACTGGCAAAGATGAAAGCTGGTGCTGATTCTGCTGTAATTGATGATATATATCTCGAGCTTCGCGAGGCGTTGAAAAGATAACTGCCTGGCCTGAGGAGGCTTTCAGGGTATTCTGAGCTGCTTTTGATGCTGTTAACTTTGAATTTGCCTGAGTCTGGATGAACTGAGAGGTGTTCTCAAGGAGAAGAGGGCTGAGGAGTAGCTTGGAAGGTCTAACAGGCTATAAGCCTGAAGCATTCCATCCAGACTTGATATTCTGGCTCGAAAGGCCTTCCAAGCGAGCCTGACGATAGGTCTCGAGGAATATTCGCTTGCCAAAGACTGTTGAATCCCCCCACTGGCTTATAGAACTGACTTTTCGCCTGTACGCTCTCTTGAGAGACGAGAAGACTTCTAGATCAAGGGGCTGAAGTATGTGAGAGGTATGAGGAGGCAAGTAAATCAACAGGATATTGTTTTGATAGCATTGCTACATAAACTCGTCAGTTGTATAGCTGCTGTGGCTATCCAGGACTAATAGTCGAGCCTCTGAGGGGTCTGCTGGCTTGCTGCCTGGAATGAAGATCTTTTTCAGCCATTCGAGAGCTACAGCATTATCAGTCCATCCATTGCTCGTAGCTATGAACTGCTAGCCCTCTGTTATGACCCATCCAACATGCAGGTCACAAACAGGTCACGAGTAACAAGAACCAGGTGTCAAGAACCCAACGTTCTGACTAAGCATTGATTACATAACCCAGGATTAGATATAACAGGGATGGATCACTGAATCATTAGATGATCCAGTAAGCCCAGATCACCTGGATTAGTAGTAAGCCAAGATAAGCCATACTAAAGAGCTGGATATATAAAGATACATTCATTACCATTAGATAGATTCAATACATAGCTCTTCAATTATCAATCTAAGTATCAGATTACTCTCTTACTCTGATAGCCCTAAAGACAGTGAATACTTGCAAAGTTATCTCGATTGTATTTCCGTATTCAAGGCTTATACTTAGCACTGCTCTTGTTAGCATAAACTCTTTGTATACTTTGGAATCTTCAGATTACTGCAGTGCTCATTATATTTTGATAACTCTTGTTCAAGAATAATTTAGTATTACTCTCTTGAGCAATACGGAATACAATAGCTTTTCAAGAATTCTCTTCATCTATGCATGCTCCTACTTAGGAAGAACTGATTAATCAGATGTATCAGCTTATCCAGCATATTCAGAACCTGCGCAACCAACAGCAGGCTCAGAGCACCACCATTGCTAATCAGCAGGCTCAATTGAAGCAGCAGGCTTAACAAGCTCAACAGATACAGCTCACCTCTACAGTTACCAACAATGCTAGAAAAGCATATAAGATAAACAAGCCTGCTATATATAATAGCAATCAGAAGATGCTGTATAGATTCCTTACTCACTGCAGAGCATACTTTTTATACTATACAATTCAGTTTACTAAAGAAGCTAGAAAGATTATCCTTGCAGAGACTTATCTTAAGAAAGATGCTCTTATCTAATATAAGCCTTCTCTGTGCAATTATTTAGAATATTAGAACAATCCCAGCATATATACTCAGAATACTAGAGATATATTCGATTCCTTTACAGATTTCGAAAAAGCTCTTAAGAAAACTTTTAGCAATTCTAATAAGAAATGCATTACAGCTTAGCAACTTATAAATCTTAAGCAGACCAAATCAGCTTCTGCTTATACAGTTAGATTCAAATAGCTCTCAGCATAGCTTTCATAAAAAGATAAGAATCTTATGAAATACTACTATAAGAAACTCAAGAATGATATTAAGAACGAAATCTTCAAACAAGATTAGTTAGAAAACTTTGCAATATTTTCAAATCAGATAATCTGTATCGATAATCATCTGTACAAACAATGAATAAAGAAGTTTAAGAAAAGAGAAAGCTAGATTTGGAAATTTCTAGCTAATATAAGCAAGAAACTCTAATATAAAAACAGCAATCAATATAGCAGCATAGCTTAAAGCAGCACTATATATGCTGAATCCATAGAGCTCAATACTGCTAACAAGCAATACAGCAAGAAGAACAGTATTACTTGCTACAATTGCAACAAACAGAGATATATCTTATATAACTGCTATTAATTCCGAAAGAATAAATAGCAACTAGTTCAGAAAGAATGCTAAGTAAGTATTGCTCAGCAATAGAAGCTCAATCAACTGAGTAAAAATATTCTCTTGAAGCAAGTATTGAACTCTATTAATTACAGAAATCTTAGCTGAACATTCTGCTACAATAATAACTGCTTAATACATCTCTCGAGTAAGAAAAGCTCAGAATAGTTTCCCCAAAGATCTAGATACTACAAACAGATAGCAGTAGAAGAATGAGAATATACACTCAGCACAACTATAAGCAGCAACAACTCAAGCTGCTCCAACATTATTGAACAAAGCATTCAAACGCTGGAAACAGAACTTAGCAACAGCACCCTTCATCACTTCCCATCATTCGTACCAAATGCTATAGCTAGGGATATGAACAAGAGATAGTATCCTCTTAGCTACTGATACAAATATCTAAACAATGCCGAAAGTATCTTTCAAGCAATAGAGGAATTAAGCTAGAACAAACAGCTTAGCAATCTATCTGAGTCTTTCGTAAATAACAGACCCGATAGCTCTACGGAAGTTCGGAAAGGAAGGTTTCTCTTCAGCATTAGATGAAATACGAAATCAATATGGATTAAATATCTCATCTATGGGATAGGGCTAGAAGAGCTCTTTACCTGCATTCTCTTGCAGAATATCAAAGCATAGCAGAACGAGAATCCTCGAATCAGCTCACTTTACAATCTATACTACGAACTAGCATGAATCTTCTGCGCTTACTACAGCTGCTAAGCACATTTTTCAGAGAAGATGCAGTATAAATGATTTCCTATCAGAGAACTAGAACAGATCCTTCAGGCTATTAAAGCAGAGAAGCTTCATTTCAGAAAGATTCTCAACAAACAGCATAATAATACATATATTAAGCTACTGAATGACTGCTCTAAGCAATGCATAAACAAGAAAGTGAAATGATAGCAATGCAAAACAATACTTTATACAATTCATATTAATAATAAGATTTGCAATTAGCATTAGCAGAAAGATAATCAGAAGCAACAACAATATAAGCAAAAACAAGCTAAAAAGCTCGCTTGAGAAGCAGCTATGCAAGCTCAGAAGAAGGATAAGCAGTTTTCAGAAATCTCAAAAGATCAGAATCGCTTATAAGAAAACTGCAGATGATCAGACTGGAACAGTTTTTATATAAAGCTTCCAAAGCAGATTATGCTTATATCAAGCTCAATATATACATTTGTAGATACAAGTACAGCGCACTATTGAATAGTAGCGCTTAGAGAAACTTTATATCTCTATACATTATTAATCAAGCATAACTACAATGGAAATAAAAGAAATAGCTATATACTCTCAGCACTATAGAAGAACAATCTATTGCATACAACTAAGGCATAATCAATACAGAGACTAATCATCTACTTATCTTAATCCAAGAATATATGATCAGAGTTTCCTTTGATATTACAGATATAGCACAGCATGAGCTGATTATAGAGCTTTCATAGCTTAAGAAGCATAATCCTCAAATCGATTGAACTACTAGCTAGATCTCATAAGAACAAGCTGTACTTAGAGAGATAGTTGCAATTAACAGCGCAGAACGGAATTCAGTTGCTGAAGAATACTCGAGGAAAGAAGCTTCAAACGAATTCATATATATCTTCAGGCCAGCAGAGCTAGCAGCACAAGAAGAGAAGCTTAGTAATAAGCGGACTCAAGCAATGCTAGAGCGCCAACAGATCAATATAACAACAGAAGCAAGGCTTTCAGCAGATCGGTTCGCTCCGGAGCAATAAGGGAAGGCTTCAGAAAGTGGATTATAGATTCACAGGAAAAGCTCGAAACCAGGCTCTCAAGCAATCAGTCCGCCCCGAAGCAACTGCTCAAGGCCTTCAAAAACGCTACTAAAGATAACTAGCGAAAAGAAGCACACTCAACAGTACCTACTATTCCTCTAAGTAGCAAAAACAGAATAGGAATCAGAACCAACACTCGCAAGCATACTACAGGAATACTACAAATTTGAGAAATTGTTCCAGGAAGAATTGGATACAGAACTACCAGAATACAGCTGTAATGAGCACTGCAGCAATCCGAAGATTCCAAAGTATACAAAGGAGTTTATGCTAACAAGAGCGGTATCAAAGTATCAAGCTCTTAAATACGGAACTGTACAAGTCCTGATGAGCGTTGCAAGTGTTCACTGCCTTTGGAGCTATTCAGTATATGAGACTGAATACTTAGATTAACAACTGAAGAGCTATGTACTGAGTCTATCTAACGGTAGTAAATATATTCTTATATATCCAGCTCTTCAGTGTGGATATGTTGGATAGCAACATATTCAAGTTATCCTGCTAGCTCTGGATAGCACATATCCAAAGCTATCCTTCTTGATTAGCTATACTTGTAATCCTAACTCTGAATTATGTAATCAATGCTTTGTTAGAATGTTGAGTTCTTAATATCTAGTTCTTGTTGCTCGTAATCTGTTTCGTAATCTGCATATTGAATAGATCATAACATCATCTTTCTTCTATCAGTTATTATTCCTCACGATCTTTTGTAAGTATTCTAGCAAGTTTTCTATATATATGATCTTGCTTTTCTAATCGAGATATTAAATAGAATTAACAAATCTTGTTCTTGCGCTGAGAAGACTAAATAAAAGAATTCCCTTCTTTTCTTAATCCTTACAAATGCTATTACTATATCTTTCTATTCTTTCTGTAAGAGTTGTAGTATTCAGTTTTGTTAAGTTTCCGCTAAGAATTCCTCCTGTTGCGCTGAATATATTTGTCTGAGCTGCTCTCAGTATGATGTTCAAGAGCTAAGCGCTGCGGAAATTTGTTGGATAGGTGTCTAATACTAACGCCTGGAGAACCAACTCGAGAGTGCTGAGGGGCGGCTGCACGACGCTGCTGCGGAGGTGAAACGTTTGTGGAAGCAGAAACGTCTGTAGTTTGAGAGGATGATGAAAGCCGTTTGCCGAGGCCTTTTCAGCGTGAAGGAGCTAGAGCATGAGGAGGCTAAGGAGGAGCGAGCTTGTATTGCTGCTGGGATTCGTTCTGTGATTGCAGAGGAGTCTGCTGCTGTTGCCAGGGATTCTTCCTTTGAGGGTTTCGACTGGAATTCCGTGGATGTAGAGAATTCAGTGATAGATTAGTTGGATTTTCTGGAGAGTGAGGTTTCTGAAGCCCCTGGGTTTCGGTTTGGGGCGGAGCGATTATCCTAGATGCTGGTTTCCTTCCTTTTCCAATATTTAGCTACTTTTTTCTGAGTATTCTTAATGTTTTTCTATGATTCCCATGAATTTTCACTTGCTAAGTAATCTTTTCACTTGATGAAGTACTCTTTTGTGCTATCTATGCTTCTATGCTTGAAGATTTTCTCTATCTCATACTCTAGTTTATTGTTTTCTACTTCTGCTATATTATCCGCTGATATTTCCTATGCTGCTAATTCCAATAGTAAGATATGGAAAACCGAGTATATTCTCATTCTATGAGATAATACTAACTCATAATTAACTAGGGAAATCTATTACAAGATTTTGAATAGCTCTAGCTTTTTGTAATCAAATTTGTTGCTAGATCTAGTTATTTTAATGTTTTTTCGAAATAGATAAACCTTATCTTTCTTCTGTAGGATTAGTTTCTCAATTCTTTTGAAGTTTGCATATTGCATTATTCGTTCCTGAATAAATTGTAATTCTAACTAAAGTTTCTTCTGAACTTTCTTAATCTTCTTAACTCTTTTTTCTGCAGCTTCTACATCTGCTTCTAGCAGTACTTTGTAATAAGCTATTGAATTATATCTGTAGAATATAAAGAATAGTAACTTCTTTATTATACTTATATCTGCATTATTATAAGCGCATCTTAGCTGTAGCACGCTCTAGCTTCTCCTTTGCATCATTAAGAGCAGCCTTAGCAGCGAAATGCTGAGCTACAATCTTCTCCACCTGCAATAGCAACAAACCATGCATTGTTGTAGTGGCCAGGGTGGTAGTCCGTAGGACGTGGAGTACAGTGAGTCAAGGGTCCTCATACATATAAAGGATACCATTCACTTTTCAAATTCTTTAGCTATAAGCAACAAGGAAGCATCCTTTCTCTTCTTTTCAATTTTGAACCCTTTGGACAGATCTAAGACAGATTTTTCACCCTGTTCTTGCGCCCGTGTAGCCTTAGTTTGCTGTTCTCATCTGTACAGGCATGCTTGGATTGTACAAGCTCTTGCTTATTGCTTCAGCAGCTGTTTATCCCTTTTTCTTTCGAGGGCAACAGCGCTCTAGTTCTGATTCAATGGTGCAGTATATACGGATTTAGCTATTCAGGCTGGTAGCTCAGGGCTGTTTGCATTACAGTTTGTAAGAATCAGTAAGAGCAGCAAGTTTATCCTATGAACAGATGCACTCTTTTTCTCTGCTGAGCTCTTTTATTTCCTTTATCTATCATGCTTATATAATAGGCTGTATATTATATCTAGATTCTGGATTATGCTTGAGATCTCTTGTAAAGGGGAGATGAGTGGATAGAGGAGAAGTAATATGAGTTCTGATTATAAGCTGGTAAATGATGCATTGAGCTTGCAAGCTAATATTATGAAGAAACGAATTCCTTTTTCCAATATTTCTTATATTAATTAATGATTCTATATAGAAGCTAATATAGCTTAGATTTGTATAAGCTGCAGCAGAAAGTTTAATTATGTTGGATATAGATTTATAGTTAAATTATAGAGTGAAATGCTTTTGATGAATAATATTCTGCAGAGAAAAGTAATATGATTAATAAGATCTATGCTTCTTACAATAATCTAATTAGCATGCTTTATCTGAATATATTTAGCTATATTAATCTTTTGAATCAAAAGCTTGCTAGTTATATTATTTCAAAAGCAAAGAATACAGAAAAATAAAAATAAAAAACTATTAATATATATAAGAAATAAAAATCAAGAATTATAATAATATTATCCAATATCGAATTTTAATTAATATCTTATATCTAGTTAGAAATATCTCTATTAATTAGCAGAATTATTAATAAAGAAAATTCTAATGCAATATAGAACAGCTAATTCAATCTCTTATTATTTATTACAAGACAGATCTTATATACGCTCTACTTACAAACTGAATCTTTCTTAAATATCTGAATTCCTTTAATTTCTATAGTATTGTTTTCTGCAGAATACGGAAAGCATTCTAGCTATAGCGCTCTCAACTCAAGAATCTCGAATCAGAAAAGCAAAGAAATATCGGAGGAAGCAATAATCAAGAGAGAAGATAGCTTCTATATCTGAGAGCTCTTCCAATCAGATACTCAGTTCAGCCAACTACTTAGCTAATAATCACTATAATCAGAACTTCAGATTCTTCTTTTATAGTAAGCTTGCTGATAGTGGATTAATATTGTTTGCTTATATGAAAATCTTCTTATAGCTAAAGCAATTCAACTAATGATATTAGATCAAAGGGATTGATAATACTCAAGTATTCAACTTTATAAAAAGCTTTTGTATAGATATAATCATTACTGAAGAAGTAGAGAGATTTATTACAAGCGCTAAAACTTGGAATGAATAGAAGAAGCAATTATTAGTTGCTTATTGCTCTTAAGACTATCTTCAAGTATATATTCCTGAATAGAAGCGCCTGAATATTATTAATAATTATTTCATTATTAATACTGCTAGCTTCTGATTATTTATTATGAATTATAATAATGCTCTTACTTATCTTAAGATTAGAGATAGTTAATCTGTAGCAGAAGTATAAATGAAGCTCTCTTCAATCTGAATTAAGCGCTTTTAAGCTAACTATAGTATTACTGCTAAAAGCGTTAGTAATAAGAAGTAGCCTTATCTTATGAAAAAGCTGTTGAAAGTTTATCATAAAGCATTCTAGAAGAAGATTCAAGATTAACTTGCTTCCAGTGCTACTAATCTTTAACTTTATTAACAGGCTTAATTTCAAGATTCTTCTATGCTTTTACCTCAGCTGATTCTTAATCAGACTTAGCTTATTCCTGTTTCATATTCAATATATAATACTCTCAATCAACTGATAAATTCATTGAAATAAGCAATAGAGCTATTATATTATTAACTATCTTAATAATTAACTTATAATTAGCAAGCTTAGCTTGAACTAACTAAGCAGATCTTAAAAGCTGAATCTGCTTAGAAGAGCAACTAAGAATACAACTAGTTAGCTTCAATAATAAAGCAACTCTGTATTAATTAAATTGCAATAGCAAAATTCTTAAAGCTGCAGATTAATATTCTCAGATAAATACAGAATATCTCATATAATCAAACTAAAGCTCTACAGAAGATCTTACAACTAATCAGGCATTTCCAAACTATTTCTGCAAGAAACTCTTCTTAGGAAAATGCAAATTCCTTGCAGATGAGTATTACTTATACAAGTTCGGAGAATGAGAATAAGCAGTATTCTGAAGCATAGCAAGCGAAGATCAATGAAATCCTGAAGAAGAATAGAACTCTGTACAGATGCTATAGCTATAGATTGAAGTTTCATAAAGCTTATGAATATATAGAACTCCGTATTATTATGAATTATAGCATTTGCTATGCTTCAGCATTAGCAAAGCTAAAGTAATATCTTAGCAATTACTTGGAGTTTCTGAATTCTAAATCAAAACTAGTATTATTGAATCAGAACTAGGGCGCCGTCGTCCTCGAAAGAAAAAGGAACAAACAGCTGCCGAAGCAATGGGCAAGAGCTCGTGCAACCCAAGCGTGCCTGTACAGATGAGAACAGCAAACTAAGGCCACACGGGCGCAAGAACAGGGTGAAAAACCTGTCTTAGACCTGTCCAAAGGGTTCAAAATTTGAAAAGAAGAGAAAGGATGCTTTTTTTTTGTTGCTTATAGCTAAAGAATTTGAAAAGTGAGTGGTATCCTTTATATGTATGAGAACCCTTGACCCACTGTACTCCACATCCCACGGACTACCACCCTGGCCACTATAACAGCCCTCCCCCAGCAACTTTCTTCCAAAGTTGCAACAAGTCCAATGGTATGCTAGGTCTGATCAGAGAGAGATGAAGTAAAGAAATAAAGAATTCATTGCAAACTGCTAAAGGAAATACTGCAAACCAAACCATCCCCTCCCATTCAACCCTCATGCTTTTCCCTATTGCTTGAGCTATTATTCAAATCAATACAGGAGTATTAGTATCTATCTTCAGTTCATTTGTAATATAAGTACGATCTGGATAGATTCTAATGCTGATCTCTTCTCTGTTCTCATCTGCTCTCAAACTCTGCTTGAGCAGCAGCAGCAGCAGCAGTTCTCTCCTGATTCTGCATTCTCACTCAACGGATTCTTTCGCAGTCCGCTTCATATATATTCATCTTAATAGCATGATCGAATCCTGTTCAGTTCGGAAAACCTACTAAAAGCTTAATAGGATTAAGGCTATGAAGCTCATTCCATAGAGGCATACAAGGCTCCTGAGGTTTATTAGGAAAACTAGGAAGCATAATATTGCTGCTTCTCAGTTTCTAATGCAATGAAGCTTCAGTAGTATATCCAAGCCTAGCTATTTGCTGCATTAATAGATTGATTATTGGTTCTGAACTAATAAGCGTTTCTCGAGATGAAGAGGAGTAAGGATTAGTAGGAGTTCCGAATAGAAGTTGACTTAATTCTGAGCTGATATTATATCCTCTTAATGAATGCAAGATCGAGCTAGCTGGAGCTGTGCTCTTTCGGGATTGTTGTCTTAATGAAACTAAGCTGAATGCTCTACTCGCTCTGAAATTCTTCAGAGCAAAGGCTGATATATTCTTTCTTATTCTATTGAGATCGCTTTTAATAAATAGTTCAAGCAAGTCTGCAACTTCTTTTATAAAGAAGGTAATATTCAGCTTGTAGATTATATTCAGTATTCTACTAGCTTTTACTTGTATAGCTTTGTATTCTTGAAGTAAAGTATTCCTTCTTAATAGCTGATTAGGATATTGCATATAGTTGCTGTATTCCAGCTTATAGAAGAAAGCTTAGCAGTATAGGCTTGTTATAGCTATCTCTGTATCTTATTTTTCTATATTTTGTACAATCTCTTTATAATTAAGATAAAGAGCTTGCTTTCAATCTAAATAGCTACTAGATGATTAGTAAAAATCAGTAGATTTCAGAATTTGAAAGCAAAATAGTTTAATTGCATAGAGCAGAGCTGCATTCGAATTATTATCCAACAGTATAGTTGGAATATTCTTGAAATCCTAATCCTGAATAGCTTTAGCACTTCTGAGCTGATTGTTCAGATAGTGCTTGCTTGCATAAGCTAGTAGAATATTGCTGAATTTGTATATAATAATGTAAAATCCTTTTTCAGTCTTTATATTAAGCTAAAACAGAGTATAAGCTAAAGTTGCTGTATTAACTGAGAGGAGAACTCATAGATGCTTCTGTCTAGCTTCATATCTGAGCAGATTCTGCTTATTGAGAATATCAGAAGAGCTAGATAAATAAGCTATTAATGGAATACAAAAACATTCTATCAAGAATACATCTTGTTGATTATATTAAGCATAATAATAAAAAGCAGCTATAATATACTGCAGACTAATATCTTGAGAAACTCTTATATCTAAGAATCCAACTAGATTATAAATATTAAGAAGATATCTGGAAGAATTAGCGCTAAAGATTGTAAGCAAGTATAACTTGCAAAGAG